GGATGACGATGAGAATCAGAAAGGCGGAAAGAAGAACAAGGAGGAGCTAGTTGATCCCTTGAATGCCAACCTAACTGCGATGAAAGACGAGGAAAGAACAGACAAAAATGTTAACATGGCTAATTTAGCCGATTCGAGTAGGGCACATATGAAAGGAAACGCAAAAGAAATGTTAAATGAGCTTAACGATGTTAATCTAGCTGATAAAAAGAGCGAAAAAGATGAAAAGAAGAAAAAATCTTCCAAAGCAAATGAAGATGATTTAATTAATACGATTGATGTTCAAAATGCTAGTCTAAAACAAAAGAAGGAAGCATTGTCTGGGATCAAGGAAGCAGAGCTAAGTGAAAAGAAAAATGAAGAACCAGAAGCAAAGGACAAGAGCAAAGATGAGAAAGGTGAGAAATCGAAGCTTAAATCTAGTAAATTGAAGGCAAAAGATGCCAAAAATAGTCTGCATGAGGAAAAATGGTCCAAAATGGCATCTCTCAATGCCACCACGGATAAAACCACCAAGTCGTCGCTCGCTTCAACTTCAAAAGATGATGAGGATGATGATAAGAAGAAGAAGAGCGAATCGAAACATCACAAAGATTCGCATCATGGCGAGACTCTCAACGAGGCCAGAGGAACGTTGGATACGTCAAATATGCTCGGTAAGTCCGGCGCACTTAGTTCTATCGGTGAATATGGAAATACTCTGCTGGGACACAATAGCTCGTTAAGTGTTCCCACATCGGACAGCTTTTAAGAAATAAAATTTTTTGGCTACTTGTTTGCCGATGATTTTGATTTTCATTGTGCTAGCTAGCACTTTACGATAAACTGATGATGAATTAGGTTAGAGCAAATAACTGCGCTGCAAAAAATCACCTGGCATGCTTTACGCGCTTGAACACCTGATTTATTTTAGTTTTATCATATGTTCTAATGAATAGGTCGAATCAGGTTAAAACATGGCAAACGCATCTACATATCTCGATTTATCTACTGTGTGTAGGAGTAGTTCTGTGAGCGCTTGCATTGTTTGCTCGATCTTATGCTCAGCTCCAAACGAAGTTTTACCCGTAATCAATGGATGATCTGCGCAACGGTTGTGTGGTGTACCGTGGTATTGGAAATAAATTTACTAATTCAGATTTGTGCAACAATGGATGTCAGCATGGCAGAAGATGTTTTAGATGTTATTTCCGAGTTTTACAGCATTTTGAGTAAGAAGTACTAAATTATGGTTGGTCATTGTGATCGGTTTTGGATACTAGCATTATGTATTTTAAGCATGTGTTAATTTCCAATTTGAGCATCATCCTTTGCTCCTACTTTATTGGTATTTACAGACCAAATTCTCCATGTCAGAACTGAGCATATTATTTTCGTGTTGTAACAAGCCGTGCCATTTTTATTAATCAAACAGGATACTTTATTTAGTGCTGGCATGAGAGGGCAATGTTGACAATTATGTTTGGTACTAACATCGCAATACTCGTCTTGTGCCTGTCACAACCGGGAAATTACCTTCTGTTCATTAGTGGTGTGACACGATGTCGTGGAGTGTAACTGAAGTACTGAACAAATTTGGTTTCGCTCGTTCAAAGGATTATCAAGGTTGTTGTTGAGAGGACAACCAACCTTCTAACGATTGTATAAGAGGCAGCGATTAAACATCAGCGTCGACCTGGGCCAGAGCACGCAGATTAAATACCGCCATGTCTGCTATTCCTCTGCAGGACAGCTAATATAACTCCAAACAAAATTGACATGCAATGAAACATTGTAGTGATTGGCTAAAACATTAAAGTTACATAAATTTATAATAAAAGGAAGCTACAGTTCCAATACATGCTGCTGCTCATTAACATGGCTGCTTGCTTAGAGAGCATCTATGATCCCAATTTTATGAAAAACGATGTCTATTACGGATACGACAAGAAAGGGCTCCTGACGAACTACGACAAGGATAGTGTCAGAGAGTATGAAAAGGAAGACTGGGACAAGGACTTTGAAAACGGTTTTAAAGATAGCAAGGAATATGATGATATGAAGGAAAATGTCGACTACGACGACTTCAAAGAATACGATGGATACAGCGAATACAAGGATACATTCAACAACCCATATACTACCCCGTTGGCATACAAGCTATCCCCCCTCACCAAGAACATCCGCTATAACCAACTCGCAACGTATCCACTTCAGCAGAGCTTCTCTCGTAGTATCCTGTTTGCGACGAAGAACTCGCTTCCGAAGATTCTCTCGAGGGAGTTCAACGATATAAGCAAGGACTTGAACAAAAAGTTGACAAACTCGATTTACAACGTGCGTAACACGAACATCGACCATGACAAGTTTAGAGAATTGATCGTTATAAAGAAGCGTGTGGTGAGCGATGGGAAACACAAGGTTGTTAATCTTGATGTAAGTGGACGAGTAGTGCCTAGAAACGGAAAGGAAGATAAGTTGAGAATGATTTTGGCTGGAATAGTGTTCCTGTTAGCAGGTGTTATCTTTACAGGAAGTATAAAATTCTATCAGAACTATTTAAAGATTAAGAAAGTTGATTCATTGGGAAAATACTGAGAAATTAAACGTGGCTTATGATGTGAATTTTTTTGATATGAAATAGGGTCATACAAGCGTGGGCACTCCACTACGTAACGTTGCTCATAAATTTAAGAACAGCATTTGAAAGAGTTGATTTGATATTGCAATATACTTCGGGATAGGTACCATTCCAAACTACAAAAATACCTAATCGTGCGACGAGAACTCATAGTTATGTCATCTTTTGATCACGATCATTTATAGAACATTTCTTGTGGTAACTAACCTGTATGAACTCTCCTGTGCGGTGACAACAAAGCATATTATGTATCAATATGTTCCTCAACAGACGTGTTCTACAGCAATAAGTCATCAATGAATCGGTGTTACATGCTTTTGTATAGATGTGAGCTCAAAATAGAAACAGGAGCATTTTGAGACAATGCCTGTCAGTGCGATGTCAAGGATATAAAAAAACTTTCAGAAAAACCTCCATGCCAAATTATACTCAAAGTACGAGAAATGTCACACAAAGTGTTCCATCAATCCCTGAGTTTGGTGGCACAACAGCCAATACCTCCGATGTAATGTACCACGAACCAAATACAAGCCACGCTAGCATTATATTGACTATTATCGCGTTTTTTCTTTTGTATTTGGTTCTGCTCAGCATGATAGCTTGTATCTACCATAAAATGAGAAAGCTCAGCAACGTTGGTAATCAAAGATCCAGAGAGTTCATGTTAGATACCGGTAACAGGGAATGTTCATCAACATCGGAAAAAGGATCAACTTCCACTCAAACTATGCAAGTTACAGAGCTTTAAATAAATTTCTATTGTTCGTTACCTTAAACGCGATTGCAGCTGAGGCATGAACTTGGATCGACCTTGTTCTGGTCAACGTGTATACCTGACCATTTAATTGAGCGTAGTATCAATCAACAAAGTCAAATCAAATTTTTTCTACAGTGAGTCCATGTATAAATACAATAAATCGAATTAGTCTATTAATATGTACTTTTCACTGTTAATATAGCAATTTCTTTACTTGTGAATCAAACAAATCTTCCTAATTAGTTTTCACCAGAGGATAGTTAGTTGCATCAATCTATTTAAATGGCATACAATTCTTTACTGCTTATGTCTTTAGCTATTTTACTAAATTATTTTTGAATTAGCTTAAATTTTAGTCTAAAGTCTCAACGGCGCTCATTTACTCCATTGTTTGTATAAAATGTGTTCTTTTTTACAATAATTATACTTTTATTGATTTATTCGTTTATAACTAACAGTTAAGCACTACACGATCGATATTTTGATACAATCTTGATATTTCGTAGTGGCACACATTTACGTGTTTAAATACACCATAGCATCCTGCAATCGCACACATTTCGTTTACTTAGCAAATGCCATGATCGAGTCTGAAAAATATAGGTCAAAAAAATTTGACGAACCCACAACATATTTGGAAATAAAGTTTTTGACATATATCAAAATTTGACAGAGAAAAAAGCGAACATATACCAATAAATAATACCTGCACATTCATTTTCAAGTACGCCACAAATACTATGATAACACGCGCTAGGACACAACATTTTACTATTTATCGCCCTGGTACATCCGAAATATTTGTCAATCTTTTTTAGAATTGCTGCTGTAAAATTTAATTACGTTGCATTTCAACCTACGAATTACTTGGTGGTGTAACGATGAATTTCATATGAAACCATACAAAAATATTAAATTTTGAAGGTTCTTAGCATTCTTCCTGTTGGTTGAAATTGTGATGGCTTTGTAGCTGTCAGAGCATTAAATTAATACATTTCTATAAGAAGGCAAGTAGAAACTATAAAAACAAAAAAATGTAAGCACCTCACACCAAAATGAATCCTCCATTGCCATTCAGAGAGATAATTAAAACAATTGCATCCGATCCTGAAAGAGGTGACGTTCCAGAGTATGACTATGTATATCCTGACCCTGATGAGCTGCCACATACTTATCAACCGTTAACTGACGTTATTAAAGGAATAGTAAATGAGAATAAGCAAAGTCTTCACGATTACGATGATAGTGCAACAACACCAAATTATCTACCAAGAGGAACCGTAACAGATCTCTTTACTACCACGACCAGACCAACCGAAGATGACCAAGCTGTGGATTGGAGTACCACGCAGAGAAACGTGACAAACCTTCTTACTACCACGACCAGGCCAAGCGAAGATGATCAAGCTGTGGATTGGAGTACCACGCAGAGAAATGTGACAGATCTCTTTACTACCACGACCAGGCCAACCGAAGATGACCAAGCTGTGGATTGGAATACCACGCAGAGAAACGTGACAGATCTCTTTACTACCACGACCATGCCAACCGAAGATGACCAAGCTGTGGATTGGAATACCACGCAGAGAAACGTGACAGATCTCTTTACTACCACGATCAGACCAAGCGAAGATGACCAAACACCTTTTGATTGGAATTTTACTTTTTCCATCACAATAGCTCTGTTTCTGCTTCTCTGTTTGGCGTTACCGTGCGGCTTGTTTTGTATCAAAAGAAAAATTAAACGAAAACGATCACGTAGCTCCAAGTCTAAGCGAACCAAAGAAAATCAATCATCTAAAAATGAATCAAAAGATGAGTCAGGAAATGATCACGAGCCCTTAACAGCTAATGTTGAGCAATCAGAGTCGCATAGCAGTACCAATCGGCCAAGTGTCAGATTCGCACTCGAGAACGAAAACACAGTGATATCTCCGTAAGTATTATTTTAATTAAAATTTACCAATCATGTTGATGTGTATGAAACGGATAGTACCCTTATTTTGCTGATTATATCGTATCATGGCAGTATAGCATGTTGTTATCTTCGTCACAATAATCCACATTGCCAAATTTTTTAAAAGGATACGTTGCTTGATGTCGGGATAGGACGGTCATTTTAACATAAAATGTTAAAAACGCGTTTGATCACCCCTACCAAATTTTTTACAAAATTGTGCTTTGTACCAAAAATCATTTATTATCATCCATCAGCAAAACTTATAAATGGTAAATAAAACACTTCCTGTACAACCGTTCCTATAGTTCACAAAACACATCCCTAAAAACAACTTTAATAATCCACTCAACCAGCAGCCCTCTCATTTGTCCTCGTCTTCTCACCCCTGTTCAAGGGCTCTACATCACTTTTTAGTTCCTTATCTTCGTTCTTGTTTTCATCCGTACCACTGTTTCCTGATTCTGCACTTTCATTGGAACGCTCCTTGTCATTCTTGGCACTCTCTCCACTCTCTTCCTTGGCCTCTCTCAGCTTCTCCTTCGCGATTCTCTCCCTTTCCTCTCTCTCAGCCTTTTCTCGTTCCCTTTCCTTCACCTCTTTTTCAATCTCAAGTTCCATCCTAACAATGTCCTCGTCCAGCTTCTCCAAATTCAGAATGTCCACATTGCCATCAAATGTACACTTGCTGAGCAGGTCCTTGTCTCCGTTAAGCCTCGATTGCAGTTTGTAGACCGCTGGCGTGCAAATTTTTACTTCTTTCAGGTTCTTCAGACTAGCCTCAATTCTTTCGTGCACTGCCTTCTTCTTGCAATCCATTAATTCCTTCATTCGCGTGACAAACTTATCAATCCTGTCGTTGTACTCGCCAACCTTCTTCTTCTCGTCTTTCAACGTGTCGCATACGGGCAGGTACATGAACTCAATGCTGAGGTTACACACATCGCTCAGCTCATCCTCGGTGAACAGCGTGTAATAGATTGGCTTGTTCATAATTTCCTGGAGCTTCTCCAGGTACAGCTGGTATTCATTGGTGAGATTGCCGATTTGCTCTATTTCTATCTCTCGCTGCCGGAATTCCTCCTCTAATTTGAGGAGATGTGAGCAGTCCGCTTCAAAATTGTGCCCCTTGATCTGCAACTGCTTATTTCTCGTGAACACCGCTGTAAAGGGCGTATTCATCGCTTCATCCAGCAACATATCATCCAGATGAGTGAACGTAAACGTACTTCCTGCCGATGCCCTGACCCTAAGAACCTTGTCCTCATCGTCTTCGTGCTCATCTGCATCATCGCGGTCCATACACCAGAATATTTCGTCTCCTTCACGGTTCACCTCCACTGTTTTCTCCATAAAATCGCCATTTTTGAAAATCACCTCGCCATTCAGCCGTATATCACCGACCAGGGCGTCCATGACCCTCATGGTCGTGGTATAGAACGGCAGTGCACCGGCAACGGCTGCACCAAAGCCGACACTTTCGTGGCTGTCGCAGCTTCGTCTTACTTTTACAGGCAGCTGATCAAGCATCTCCCTGACAAACGAGTTGTTGCTGTTTCCACCCACAACCTCAACGACAGCGCTTTCATAGTCGCAAAAGTAGTTCCTGTCCTTCACATACTCCTCAACGCGTTCTTGAATGAACGTACCTATCCTTTCGATATACTCCTTGATCATGTCCTGGTAGTCATTCTGGTCTATCCGGATCTCGTACAAATCATCGCCTACCTCCAGCACATCCTCCAACACGGGAGTGTTGCTCAATATCATTTTATACTTCTTCAGCTTTAATATTACCGTGTCCCTCAGAACGAGGTATTTGTACGTCTCCTTGTACTTGTGCGGTTTGTAATCGGTCCTGTTCACCGCTATACCGCAGTACATCCCGTTCTCATCCCGTCTTTCCTGGCCGACCTCCTCCTTCTCAAGATCGCACTGCTCAAGGATGTGGTACAGCAGCCTTTCATCAAAACTGCCCCCTCCCACTTCGATCTGCTCGATGCATCTCGCCTTTACCTTTCCATCCACGAACGTAAAACAACCAATCGCACTGTGCGCGTGTCCCAGATCAATCATTATGAAGCGCTCGTGTGCCTTTACCTTCAACGACAGGTGTGCAGCAGCACATGTCAAGTCGTCGTACACACCCACAACATTCAGATCGGCCGCCCTCGCACACATCATCACGTCACCTATCCCCTTAAGACTCGTGCACCGTGTACCAATCGTTACGTTGGGCTTGAAACCAACGGGCTGTCGGTCCATGTTCTGCAATATCAGCCTGTGCAAGTAGCAGAAGTACATGGTGAGCAGCTTCTGGTCACCTGTGAAGTGCCTGTACCGCTCTGCCATATCTTGCCGTTTGAACCCGCCCACATTGTTTCCAAACTTACGTTGCGGGTGACTGAGCTGAAACCACGTAGGTATCGTTCGTTTGTTAAGCTCGTCTATGAGTATGCGGCCGTTGCGCGATGACCCTGTCAGGACTGTCTTGTGATCGCCGATGTCTATGCCGAAATTTTCCATGTGAAGGGTTGGTATGTCTTTTTTATAGAACGGGAACTTCTAGAAAAATGATTAAAAAATTTGTAGGAGCAGATTGGCCGGTGACGGAGCATAAAACGTGTTGTATGTGCTGCTTGATACGGTGTACACGGACTCGGAATAGTATCGAGCACAGGTGTTTGCCACACGAACGGTATTTGTTTAGAACATGTTCATTGGCAGCGCACAGCACCGCATGCATTCGTACAAATAAATTTGATATGGCACTACTACCGGTTATACGTTCTGATCAGTGCATTTTCTGGGCACTGCTCTTGCTTTGAATATTTTATTGCCCGCTGAATCGACCGTACCGAGGTATGAACTGGTGGTGCAACTGGAAAGGTAAGTAAATTTACAGAAATGCTGGTTAGCTGTGCTATTTCCGCTTACAACACAAAATGAAACGTACAGCTACATTTTCTTTGTTCATCGTTGTACTTACCAGCCTACCATTCCATGTCTCTTCTATTTTTCCGCTGCAGCAAAACCAAAACTTTTACACCCGCTTTGGATGCCGCTACGGCTTTACCGCCATACTTTGCTTGGCCGGGTTAACCATGCGCAGGAACAATGTGTTTGTTTGATAGTATGGTCTGAAAGTTGCAAGGTGAGCAATATACGTATTTTCATGAAAATATGAAAGCTGTAGTTGTGGTATTGCGCTATCACCATCCTTGCACGGAGTCTCAAGAAACTCATCATTCATTCATATAAATGAAAAGGCAACTCAAAATATGATTGGTCAGTTTGTGGAATAAATTATTTGGCCCTTCGAGAAAAAGTAAAATTGTTTGTTTCGCATATCTGCACCAAACTAAGGGCCTAAGGTTGTTGTGCAGATCATTTCTCACGATACCACGGCCAACCAGCAGACTCAAAAGACAACATTCAAGTGCACTAACACGTTTACAAAAATGTTGCACAACATAAGCTTTTGTATGCAGTGCAACGTTGAAAGACTCATTTATAGTACTACGTTTACTTTCTTTTCCTGAATATCTTGCCAAATATGTAGCTGCACATGAAAAGCATCTCAAATTTGTTAAACTCTACCTCTAAAACTTGATTGCGAACAACAATTTCATCGATGAAATCTATACCAAGGCTGTGCAACCTGAGTCTGCGGCCGGTCAGAACGTACACAATGAACACCTTATGAATTTTACAAACATTCCTCTCACTGAACAAGAAGTCTAGCACGCGATCAACTTTGCAAATAAATAGGTTCTGGAACATCTTTGATACCGCTCTTTGCAGAATGTTTTTGTGCTTGAGTATTTTGTAGCATCCCACATCATCTATACACTTTTTATCGTGTCCATCAAAGTTTATTTGTATTAACTCCTTCATTTTTTTGGAGAAATACTCGTAGTCAAGGCGATCAAAGCTTTCTTTCTTCAGGAACTGCCTCATTCTCAGAGTCTCCGGGATGCTCATCTCGGTGCCGTGCGATAGAATAATGGTTTCGGTGGGATAGTCGGAGCGCTCGTAGAAATGGCATAGCCTCTTTTTCATCAAATTGTAGTACAATTCAACAATATCGTTGAAGTTCTCAGCGACTTTCATTCGCTGTACGAACCGGTAATTTTCTCGCTTTAGCAGGATGTACGTAAAATAGAAAATGAACACAGCGGACACGAATAACAGCCATACGGTAACAAAGAATGGATTGGTAAGTATTTGTTTCACCGGTAGCATTTTTAAAGCTGTCCGTGGGCAGCGTAAATTTATTCACCAATCAATCTGGAACGTTGCCATATTAGGACTAATACACCGTTGAAATGTGAGTGTATTTGGTAAGCATATGGGGAATGAATAGCACGTGCCATATCGTACATTGTTTACACAAGCGAAGTAGTACGTCAAGCATTATCATAGAATCTGTACACATACCAAATTCATATCAAGTACCTTTAATATCAGGACGTTCCAAATACCATAACTCGTATTGAACCGTTTTATCAATCAATTTTATGAATAATTGCTGTCGTGAGGTACGTTAGTATAGAGAAGCGTAAATTATGAAGAGCTTTTCTTCCATTGACCGGTAGCATGGCGCATTTCTACATGTCATCCGTGTTCAAATCAAAACGCGTAAAGTAAAGCAATTCAAAACCATAATGTTCCAAGCGGAGACACAGAGCTTGTGTTATTACAGATTTTTGAATGTTTGACATTTACAGAACGATACCGTGAATGCAGTCTGTACAAAACCGTTTATTCCCCTCACATAACAATAACATCCTAATAAATACCTTTCTGGTCTGTGATACTGTGAATTAACGTTCTAATCTGCAACAAAAATGCTATTCTTTGCTGTCTTCAGTTCTTTAAAAGCGACATAAATGAGCATTCCGCTGTTGCCAGGTGTTCAAGCTCAATTTAAACAATATCTGCCTGTTTAAGTAGCAATCTCATAATTGAACGCTACGCTATTAAAAGTGTGATTATCTCACCCGTTTAGCTGTTGCCAATATCGTTCGCAGTACACCAGGTAAAACAATTGTTTGTTTTCTTCCTCCAAATAATTTCTCATGATACCACGACCATGTCCCGTACATTACAATGTATCAGGCAAAATGCTAAGCAATTCTGTTACAGCCGCAAATTTGTATAAAAGGAGCGCAAAAATTTATTTTATTTCTAACATACACAGCAGAGACTCGGCTAAAATATGAAGGACCCGCCATAAATCTTGGTTTTCCGTGGTTTTAGGTTGCTATCCTTCTTATCAAGCTTGCTCCTGCACTTGTTCATATTATTCAAATTGTCCCTCACACTTCCGGGTATTTTTGGGCAATCCTTCTCAGCATCATCACTTTGATGTTCATTTGTTTTCTTTATCAGTTCATTTTCTGCTTCCTCCATGTTACGGTCCGGCTTGGCACATAGCAGCACAAAAAATGAAAAGAAGTGCATGTTTCGTTTCGCGTGTGTTCTTAAAAGTAAAAAATGTGTGACGAAGTGTTGTGATTAGTTATACTGTTTCAAAGTAACAACGAGTTAAGCGGCAATAACGTACCAATGATAGAAAATATCACGGAGCAGTTTTAATTCGCAAAGTGCTGTGAAGCGTTCTGCTGCTGAAGGTCGATAGCCGCTGACACTGCCTTTCCTCGCGATAATTTAATTAACGCTTTCCATCCTGAGCAGCAATCGCGGCCAAGAACTGGCAATAAATGCCGGTGTTACGGTCAGAAAAACAATCCTCTGATGGCTTCCGCAATCCGGCACGATAACACCGTAAATTGTTGTAAACTACGCTTTTCTCTGCCATGTTCTCTATTATCACTACCAAATAGTGCTGATTGGTGGTTTTCACACACAAGTCATTTGATCCTGCCTTGCCATGTTCTAGGCATTAGCGTGTGGGTTAAAATACATGGACATGCCTGCAGCTAGGCATTAGCGTGTGGGTTAAAATACATGGACATGCCTGCAGTTCAAACACAACTGAAGAATAAAAATGATGAACTATACCGAACCGCTGAACAGTGCTCAAATAAAACGGTAAAAATTGTATTTGTATCTTAAATAACTCGTAAGCAGTGTATTTCATCCGAGTTACCCAAGAAATACTAATTTGGTAAAAAACACATACCAAGAAACTGTGACATAGGTAAATTTGATTCATGTATTGTACTGGGACAGGTATTCTTTTCTAAAACGCATTTTTTGGTACTCACGCCCAACTCCACCTCAAACACGCCTCTCTAATCCTCCATACTACTGTGATCAAGCCAAAAGTCAAAGGTAACGAACAGTTCACACCATAGACCTATCGCACGACAAGCAATGTAAGCTTACCCAAATGTACCTACAGCAACGCAAAACACTGCACATAATTCGTACATCCCCACGTTACTGCACTTCAAACCGCTATCCTTGCATCGTGGAATGAAAGGATAGCGGTTGGAAGTGCTCAAAGATTGTAACTGTGCTTACCTACCACAGGAAAGGTGCCCGTACAGAACCTCTTTCCTGCCTGAACGAGGTGCCGAATTGAATTACAGGTGTTTTCTAAGCTGGTGATTTTAATGCTGTACGAGAAGAAATGATTTTAGCGATCACAAATATTAATGAGGTGCATTTTAAGACCACAGGAACCGGTGATACCGTAGATGCTCTGTACTTTCTGAACCAGCTATTCTCTACTTCACGGTCAGCAGCAGTTCGTTGGTGATTCGCCTGTGAGTATGGAGCGGTGCAGAGGAGGTGTTTTAATGGTATTGAAGTGTTCTACGTTCAAGAATAATTCACACCAAATGATGACCAATCAAAATACTGATAGCTTGAACGTGTAGGGTAGCACTGTAGGGATGTTTCTGATCCTGTACCTTAAATCAAAGCACTTTTCTACTGCAATTGAGGAATAAATGTTTATGTGCCCTGAACCTGTGCACGATTACAATCCGGACGTACGGTCCGTGGTGGCATTGTTGCGGGCAAACACATCGCCATGCTGAAAGAGCAGTGCAGCGGTGGCATGCATGCCGTTCAACATTTGATACGCTCCGCAGGTGCATCATGATCTACCAATGCTGTCCGTGGAGAGGTGCGCATCTCTGTCTCATCAAAAGTGTTTTCTTCATTTACGGCATCTGATCCTTCTTGCGCTACATCTGTGGTTCCCTCTGTTTGCCAGCCATTTGCTCGTTTCTGGCAGCGGCAGTAAACGTAAAAAAATCGAAGTCCTTTCCATTTATGTTCATTATCGATGCCGCATTGCCCATGGCATTGCAATAGTTGGGTGCCGACCACACGAAAATGCACCTTCCCATGATTTTGTGGCCCTCCATGACCAGCTGATGAGATCGAATCACGTACGATAGCTGATTATCATCAAGGAACCTGTTTAAAACATCGGGCCCAAAGAGATAGCCGGCTCCGCGAGGACTCGCTCTGTACCCATCTTCCTCCTGCGGATCGCTCCACAGGAGCGGCAGAAAGCTGCTGAAGTCCGTTCTATCGAGGAACATAATGCTTCGTACATCGCTGATGTATGGCGAGATGCCGCCGTGCACAAGAAAGTACGTTCTGTCCACGATCGCTGCTATGCCCATCACCTCAAATAGCTCATTAACTCTTCTGTAGAACGAAATGTCGTATTTAAGCAGGCACTCGCTCTTAAATCCGTACGTCTCGTTCTGGTTCGCCATCTCATGGTTGCCCTTCAGCAGGTACACGTTGCCGTGCAAAATCTTCTTGAGGCAGAGAAACAGAACGACCTCAACGGAGGATGTGCCCCGGTCCACGTAATCACCCAGAAAGACAAACTTTTTATCGCGTGTTGCAAACAACAACAAATCCTCAAACTGTCCGTGTATGTCACCAACAACCGTGCACGGTGATTTTATGTGTAGCAGATTCGGCTCATCCATTAACAATTTTTTTGCATCATCCAAAATTCTAAGGGCAAGGTTTACGTCGGGCAGCTTGAAATTGACCAAATCGTTGAGGACCTGTGTGTACGTGGACACCGCCTGGTTGGCAGAAAAGTTAAAATTGAATACACCGCGATCAGCAACGTTCGTGCCTAAGGCATCTGCAACCGATCTCTGGCCGTTGATGCGGGTGCCATCACGATCATTTGGTGCGCTGGGCAGCATTTATCAGGGGCTGCCGCCCTTCGAATTTATTGGTGTGCGCAAGGCCTGTGACGCGAAACAAGGGATTATAAGCAAAGACTTTAACTAAATACCTGAAGGCAAATCGTATTTAAAACGCTGGAAATGGCATCTATCGGTCGATTAATTGATTGGCGATATGTTTTTACATCTTATCTTGACGTATAGACTGATCCATACCGATAAATCATTTTAGGTGCTTGCAGTATTGATCGTTTTCAACACGGCTAAATGTTTCATATCTCAAAGACTCTGCTAATAGGTTATCAATGGTTATAAAATAGTATCGGGTTTACGTTGTATGCACGTAAATACTCTGATCGTTCTAAAGTTGTTCACGGTATACTTTAGTATGGGCACAGTAAGAAGCTGGAGCTATAGCTCAAGCTGGGGTTCGGCTTCACCAAGTTCAGGATCGAGCTATGGTGGAGGAGGAGGGTATAGTAGTGGAGGGTATAGTGGAGGAGGGTATAGTGGAGGAGGGTATAGTGGAGGAGGAGCTTCTGGTGGTGCTGCTGCTGGAGGAGCCTCTGGTGGAGCTGCTGGAGGAGCTGCTGGAGGAGCCTCTGGTGGTGGTGCTGGAGGAGCTGCTGGAGGAGCTGCTGGAGGAGCTGCTGGAGGAGCCTCTGGTGGTGGTGCTGCTGGTGGTGGTGCTGCTGGTGGTGAAGCTGCTGGTGGTGGTGCTGCCGGTGGTGAAGCTGCTGGTGGTGGTGCTGCCGGTGGTGGTGCTGCTGGTGGTGAAGCTGCCGGTGGTGGAGCTGCTGGTGGTGAAGCTGCTGGTGGGGGAGCTGCTGGTGGGGGAGAAGGTCATGGCGGAGGTGCCGGTGGAGGAGAGGGTGCCGGCGGAGGTGCTGGTGCCGGTGGAGGAGAAGGTCATGGTGCCGGTGGAGGAGAAGGTCATGGTGGAGGTGCCGGTGGGGGAGAGGGTGCCGGCGGAGGTGCTGGTGCCGGTGGAGGAGAAGGTCATGGTGCTGGTGCCGGTGGGGGAGAAGGTCATGGTGGAGGTGCCGGTGGGGGAGAAGGTCATGGTGGAGGTGCTGGAGGAGGAGAGGGTGCCGGCGGAGGTGCTGGTGCCGGTGAAGGACATGGAGGTGGTGCTGGCGGAGGAGAGGGTGCCGGCGGAGGTGCTGGTGCTGGTGCTGGTGCCGGTGAAGGACATGGAGGTGGTGCTGGCGGAGGCGCTGGCGGAGGTGGTGCTTGGGGACATGGAGGTGGTGCTAGTGGAGGCGCTGGTGGAGGTGGTAGCTGGGGACATGGAGGCAGCGGAGGTGGTGCTTGGGGACAGGGTGGTAGTGGAGGTGGTAGCTGGGGACAGGGTGGTAGTGGAGGTGGTGGAGCAGCCGGTGGTGCCGGTGGAAGATGGGGAGGCGGAGGAGGAGGTGCCGGTGGAAGTGGCGGTGGAGCAGCTGGAGGTGCTGGAGGACGTTGGGAAGGCGGAGGCGGAGGTGCCGGAGATTTCATTACGATTGGTAACCATGGAAAGATGGGTCCTGACAGAAACGTCACAACGAAAAGACTCTTAGAAGGCAAGGATCCAAGGGACATGCTACACTTAATTTATGATCTCAGTGACGGAACAAGTGAGCGCGTGATGGGACAGACGGAGTATGATATTGCCCTCAAGCGGGAGAAACCACCAAGAAGACGAGACCGGCCCGAAGAAGATTTCGGACGAATGCCTCCTATTGGACCGTTTATGGACTCGTTTGCCCTGGATGAACTCATTCCACCGGGATTTGATAGAGAATCATTCAAAAAAGGCTTCCAACTTTGCCGGGACATGAGAAAATAGGTCAATAAACAAGTTTTTATCAGCATTTCCCGGAGTAACCGTACACACCCGCATTAAGGAGCACTTATCATGTCACAAACAGCAATCTTCCCCTTTATTTGAATTTGAGAAGCTCTTCGATTACCGAGCTGAAATTTGAACTGTTTTTGAATGCACCAATGGTCTCATTTTTTGATTCCATACCTAAACTCATACACGCCTGTAAAAATCGGTAATTACTGCAATTAAACCAATCGATCTTTTCTTGATGATCACAAATAGAAAACTCGTTTTACCTATTGATTATCAATTTTTAAGTTTATCAAGTGCTACGTTTGCAATATGCCACAAGAAGCGTTTAAATGATACCTCAGAAATTTAACACAAGGCTTTGCACAAAAACTGCCAAAACTAACCGCTAACATCTTAAACTTTTGTTTTATTGCTTGCATCAATTTTAGAGATAACATATAATTGTATTGATTTGTAACACTCTGTGCTATCTGCGTAGTTAGAAGATTCCATTTGGTGCTTCTTCAACACAAGGTAAGAACTATCTGCCATTCAAAGATATTGAATCTACTTGTTCAGCAAGGTTAATTTTATTTGTGTTTGAATGGGCCTGTGACAGTTTAAACCATTTTTGACCCTTCGTGATCAAATCAGATTCTTGTGCTACTCCCATTACAAGGAAATGATCCTTGTGCTATTAAATGGGACAAAATCGTTCATTGGTACTAAGTGGTGGTAGAACCACGTCTGGTATATTGTTTCGGTGTGTGCCACACATCAGTTGATAGTTTGCGTATAGTGCAACAACAAGCATCTTGATCAGACATCCCTCAAATTTCCTTTTGCATTTGCAATAATTATTCTTGTACCTTCCCTATCGTATCAAATTTATACCTTTCATAGTTTAAAATAAACTCATACACGCCAAGAAAATGATCCAAAATACGTGATCAAACAGTTCTGATTTTTTTCATGGTAAAATGATGATACCGGATTTCTACGGTGTGAAAGAGCTTCTCCTTCCCTCACACATGACAATGAGCCTGCCAAGACAGCACCAAAAGGTGAGTGCTCTAATCTGTGAAACCCTCAAATACTGATCGTTATTTTTGCAAGGAAGCACCCGTATTTATTGTTGGTAGAGAGAATAAAAGCACTGTAAACCGCAATACTAACGTACTTTTACCAAAAGTATATTTATTTATCTGATCACACATCAACACCGAAGCACACTTTTATATTGAGATCAACTATGGCCAACGTCCTTTGGTTCAGGAACGATCGCAGTACTCTTTTATCTACTTGTAATATTACAACTACTATGAATTGTACCACTATGTTAGATCTACAGCACAAATGATTGAACTGATCATATAGCAGGCACATTATTAATCAAAATCGTTCTTTTAAGTCAAAATTGAGATTTTGACAGAACTACCCAAAATTAATTAATAGAGGTTATGACAGGTTATGTTTGCTATTTATGTATTAATTAACATGCATAAAACATGAAAACAGCGCCATGATAGGGCACTATGACACCGTACGACCAAGATGCAGACGAACATGAGCCATTCAACGGTAAAAGCAGTCATCGATCATCAGCTGTGTCTCTGTACTTAACGGCTAACTCCTCTCTCACGGAGAATCGGAATGAACGCCTCTCGCTGGTTGCAGCAGACCTAGAGCCTGAGCTCATACGATATGAAGAACGAAATGGAGATGAGCACGTAAATGATGCAGGAACAAGTGCTAGCTCAGAAATGCATTTTTGTTCCATGCAACTTCATGTTCTGCTCGCCGTTGTGCTGGTAGTTTTTATTTTTCTGATTTTGGTCCTCACCATTCTGATAATTGTATCGCGGCTGAACTCAGAAAACGATGACTGTGATGAAGAAGGCACTAAAAAAGTGTTGTGATGTGCGGAGATGAATAAACGTGCTTTTGGCTCAAAAAGGTAAGTAAAAGTGAATTATAGGTGGTCTACGGCAACGTTAAGCATCTTATTCTTGCCAAACGAATATTTTGATTCACATTGGCATTAACCGATGCACGCTCGCTTCTGATAGATAAATGCGAACCAAGGCCCCTGATTCGTTGAAAACTGCACATAAACCGCCAAGCAACTTGGCAGGCATCCAAAGAACAACACAAAAGTTTCTACGAGCTTGACTCTTGATATGCAAATTTCGGCCTGCATGAGACTCGTCCTACAGGATCACCCAGCAAATTCTTCCTTGCCGGATTTAAAGAGACATTTTCACTTCAAAAGCACTTTTACTTAAACGTACGTACCATAACCAACACCGTATGCCGGTTTAGACCCTGACTGTGCACTCGGGTTAATCTGGTGGACAGGCACTCCGCTGGGCGAGAAGGGTATGCCGTACGCAGGTTGTGCACCGACTGGCGTTGTAGAACTCGTAGGGACATTGCATGCGGGTGGAGCAGTTGCATTAGGTACCCCTGGTCGTACTGGCGGAAGCTGAGACGGACAAGTTGTGCTTGCAGGCACGCTAGCATGGCAGGTATCCCTGCTCGATTGTCCCATGAACGGGCACGTTGGCGCAGCGCTTTTACCACGCTTGCCCTTCTCAACAAAAGACAGCAGAATGGGCAAAAGATTGAGCTGGTGTTCAAAACCCTTCGGTCCCACAGCACCACCCGTAATCAAGTTCAACAGCATCTGCTTGTCAGCGCTATCACCACTCCCAAATAATTTGCTGATCACGTCCGTGTTGAACATGAACGATAATTTCTGATCGCGTGAAATTTCCTTGCACAGCATGCAGGTCATACAGCGCTTTTTTCCCAGATTCTGAAGAACCAATTCGAGAGCTACGCTGTTTTTGTTCGTCGAGATACCGCTGAAGCTAACCGCAGTCAGGAGATTGGGCGGCTGCCAGGACGGGTTGTTGTTGACGATGAGGAACAGCTGAACGTACACGTGGAAAAGACACATTTCTCCCTTTAGGCAAGTGCAACACTCACCACACCGCACTGCTCCGGTGACAATCCCCATGAGAAATTGGTAATCCTCGAGGTAGCCCGGAAATGGGTCAGCCGATGTTTTATTACCATCTTTCTTACCTGCACCCAACGCCGGTGATGCGACAGCTTTGTTTGCTCTTATCTCCTCCAACACGCCGAGTATACTTGTGAACAGCGATGTGACATGGTTGGTCAGCCGTGTAATGGACATGTCGACATCGCTCGTTGTTCGTTTGACGGCCATGTCCACAACCGGTGATACGTTTGCGTTGAAGAACTTGATAAGAACGTCGTTCATGGTTTCACTGCTCGGTGTCGTTACGGTGACCACGCGCGATACCGAATGTTTGCTAGGACCCTCATCGGTAGACAAAACAATGCCTGACGATAACAAAAAGATTGTAAGAGCTTTCAGCATGAGCTCTCCGTTTTATCGCTTTATATAGTTTTGATTGGTTGACAGAAGTATAAATTAGCATCGGTACCACCAAATACGTAGATTATCAGAATGCTGTCACTTTTTATCACAGCACCAATATTACGGTTTGCTAGCCGTTACCACTTTTTATAGGTTGAAGACACGCTATGTGTGCTGCGTATTTAAACGTACCAGAGTTAAAAGATGCTTCCCATCTCTCCTATGCTATTAGGATCAAAGCGTTGATGTGGTGTAAATCTAAAACGAACCTCAAAAATTACCTTAAGGTCCCTATGAATACGCGTTGTACATCTTCCTGAAAGAGTAACTTTTATATTTTCAGATAATGCGCTATATCCGTGTAGCGATACGCATTTTTTACTAAAATATGTTTATTTAGCAGCTGTATGCTACACAGGAAAGAGCTTTGAATTGACAACCCCACATAAAACGGCGAGTACGATTACAATCACGGGCTAATAAATGTGTTTTGATGTGGTAAATATGCATATTTTAGAGGAAACTAAACAATCATTTCTGAACTTGAAGAGTTTTTAAATCTTCAGTCCTTTCATTCCAACTGCAAAACACGATTAATTTAAAAACTATCATACTCTATTTTTGACATATGTCATTATAAGTGTGAAAAACGGGTTTGACGCAAAATTTTACGCATCATATCCTCCAAATTTTACGCATCATCTCTCCAAATTTTACGCATCATCTCTCCAAATTTTACGCATCATCTCTCCAAATTTTACGCATCATCTCCTCAAAATTTTACGCATCATCTCTCCAAATTTTACGCATCATCTCTCCAAATTTTACGCATCATCTCTCCAAATTTTACGCATCATCTCTCCAAATTTTACGCATCATCTCCTCAAAATTTACGCATCATCTCTCCAAATTTTACGCATCATCTCTCCAAATTTTACGCATCATCTCTCCAAATTTTACGCATCATCTCCTCAAAATTTTATACACCACTCTCAGCAGTCAAAGTCAAGAACGGTGCTGCACATAAAATGAATATGATTTTATTGCTGTCTCCCCATTATCTGATCATTTACGAGCAACACAATTTTTAATTCGCAACAAAGAACGGTGAAACGTAGCTCATTACTATTTTTACATTGTGTTGCCCGTAAAACTCAACCGTGCACGATAACACGTCAAAATTACGATCTGTGGTCAAACACCACGCCATACACACAGTCTATCAGCTCATCGTACTGCATCAATTACACGGCATAGAAAACGTAACTTGAACTGATCACAGCATCTCCACCATCAAAATAATACATTTATACTTTTATTCAAATCTTCATTTCATACTCTCCATACACTCCAAATCCTCATCAATTATGCTGATCAGCTTCATGTTCTCGTTGATGATACCGGCAATCTCATCCTCAATGTTCTTCTGCTGCATCACGCCATCCATAAACTCATCGTAGCACTGCTCAAGCTCATTCAAATACTTCACGCTGTCATCGATCTTCATCGATTCAAGCCACTTGAAGAGAAATTCTACGTTCTCCTCAAGCTCATTGATCTTGTCCTCCTCGGCTTTCAACCGATCTAACAGTTTGACATAATTGTTGCGTGCCCTTATTATCTTCTCGTCCTGAGCGAAGACCTCCTCGGCCTTCTTTTTGAAGAATTTTACGTCCTTTTCCAGCTCAGCGCTGATTTCTGCCAGGATCTCGTTAAAGGATTTCTGGCGAAAGTTGAGGGGCACGCTTGTTATGTCGACGTAGGTGTTGCCATCTACCATCTCAGCCGCTGCGTGTGCAGATGTGCCCAGCGGCTGCTGTGCAGCTGCTGCACTTTGTGGTGCCATGGACGGCTGTGCTGCAACTGGTTTGGAAGCAGAGAATAGGTTAGTACCGGTTGTGCTCGGAGCAGGAGCATCCTTCGACCCAAAGACATTTCCGCCAATGGAGCCCGGATGTATCGTTGCCCTGCCAAATGCATCGATAGGCTGTGCGGTAGTAGCACCTAAAGGGCCACCGGATAGGGGCTGCTGAACGGTAGCATCGGCGGTATGACCGCCTAGTGCACTTGTGCCGGCAATGCCGCCAGAATTTGCTACAACAGCAGGCTGTGCGGGCCCGCATACTGCCGTACCAGTGATGCCCTGTGCTTGTGTTCCATACGGTGTTGCTCCTTGCTGGGCACTTAACGGCCCGGTCCCCACCGTATTTTGTGGAACTCCGCCAAACACAGAGCCACTTGGCGCAGTTGCCTGCGGCTGCATGCCATACAAGCCGGTCGTGACCGCACTTGGCTGTGTCTGTGTCTTAAAAAGACCAGCACCGGCCCCGTTCTGATTTGGTGCGCCGAACAGTCCGGTGTTGTTCGGTTGTGATGATGCACCCGCGCGTTGCGCACCGAACGGACCAACACCCAGCCCACCACTTGCAGAGGTGCTCTGATTGGCAGCCTGAGAGCCGAACAGTCCGCTGCCCGTCGTGCCAAAAACACTGCCAGCCGTATTCGCTGTTTGGTTGGCACCAACACCCTGTGTTCCCAAAAAAGAGTTGTTGGTGTTAGCTGCATTCGGTAAACCGAATGGAGTTGTGCCTGTGGTACCGCTCAACCCCGTACCCGGCGTGTTGAACAATCCACCAGTCTGTCCCATGTTGGTGCTCGGTGCAGGTCCCTGATTGCCCATAAAATTGCTGCCGGTGTTCATTTGAGAACCGAGTCCAGTGTTGGTGCCGAACAAACCGCCACCCGTACCGCTCTGTCCGCTCCCAAAATTACTCGTGTTGCCGAACAATCCACTGCTACTGTCCTTGTTGCCGGTACCCAAAGAGAACCCCTGGTTCGGTGGCTGATTGTTGGGGAAGAGATTGAAAAACGTATTTTTCTTGTCGTTGTTTTGCATGTCGAGGGGTGTGCGTGCAAAAAATGTTTTTTTTACTCAACGAGCCCAAAGAACGTAACAGCTAAGAAACGACGTTCGATCTTGGTCTTTTTATTGTGTAAATACACGCTTTTAACGAAGTATGCTACGCATACGCATGAAATGTATTTTGAGCGCTTTAATTCTACGGTGACATCGCAAAACGTGTATACAAGGTTGTTACCATGTTCTATTGCTTTCCAAGCCATTTCTTCGCTAATAACACAGCAAGATCTTTTGCTGGAAGAATAGCACAGCTACACGTCTTTGATGGACCAAGATAAAATGGCTGACCATGAAGAATTAAAGAATGTGAGTTTTAAACACGAAAACCGCATTGTTACGTAGTATGAGCATGATTTACGATGTAACTCGCTTTAGTTGTCCAATGGCCCAAGCACATCGTTCAATGTCTCCTTACCTTTCAAGTGGTATGGGTAAGAACAAGGCAGCTGGTCATTCGATGTGTGTAGCAAGGCATGTTTATCACAAAATGATGCTTTTCGCATCATTTCACCAATAAATATCAAAAGCTCGTATTTACGGTAAAGTACTGTGCACCAGCACCTCAAACGTAGATTATGTGATCACGATGATAGTTTTGCTGTAATACTAAGTAATTGATGTAGCAGAAAGAGAGGAACAATAACAAAAGTTACCGTTCGTGTTAATCGTTCATTACTGAGATGACCCTCTAGCACTGCCATATAAGCACTTGTTGTACCTGCAACACGTAACTAGTTCAAATTTACGTTTTAATACGTTCTCTTCTTGCACGGTTTGCATCTGTTTTTCTGTTGTATTTGCGCAGTACCACTTCATCATTCTTTTGTGATCAGCATTGACACGATCTACGCCTTCACCGCTATCATTTTTTGCGAAATTGCTCTTCTATGCCAATACGGTATAATTCGGAAAATGGACCGCCCTATCGATGGGTAAGTTGCTCGTAAAACTGCAGCAACGATCGAAAAGACGGAATGGTACGAACGAAGGAACAGCGAGTAAAAATGGTGGTGGAGCTGTTGGGGAAGCGTGTGCAAGGAGTATGCGTAGGGGAGGAATTGAGGAACGTGCTACCAGCGAGAGACGAAGTAGCAAGGAGGGTGGTGAACAAGGCATGGACGAGGCGGTACTTGGTAGAATAAACATTAAATACTGTGATAGCAAAAATAAAGTAATAATTGCACCGGAACAAGCACAAAATGAAAAGATTGACAGTGAGGCAGGGCGTATCGCTAGAAAACATAAAACTAAAAATGAGAAGAAATGCCTTCTGAAAAACAAAAAAAATAGCGATCATAAGACCGGAGCAGGTAATACGGGAGAAAGAAATGATGAGAAGACTGATAAAACGTTGGAGAAGGGAGCAATTATGGAGTTAGAACGCGGCAGGGATGAGAAATTAGTAGTAAATGATGAGAAGACTGATAAAACGTTGGAGAAGGGAGCAATTATGGGGTTAGAACGCGGCAGGGATGAGAAATTAGTAGTAAATGATGAGAAGACTGATAAAACGTTGGAACAGGTGGATAAAGAGAAAAATAGACATGAAAAGGGCCAATTGAAGAATATCGTGCACACTGCGGATGTGAATCACGCCTCATTCGATGTAGATGGAAAGGAGAGTGTTGCAACCGATTTGATGGACAGGATAAGGAAGAGAACTGCCAAACGAGTGAGTTTAAGACCGGTGGCCAAGTTAAAGATAGGGATAGACGGGAGTTCTGCCGACGAGAAAATATTGACCGACGCAGAGCTGGTAGCGCTTGAGGAAAAGGTACAAGCATATTATGAACAGTTAGACGAAGTGGACATTTCAAAGTATCAACGGCTGTGTGATCATTTCATAGGAAGGCTCGAGAGACGCGAATTGCTAAAGAACAGCAGCATTGTTTTGAAGACGGGGCCCTTTAGCACCGAGGAGCAGAAAGTCCTCAAGCACAAGGTAAACGAATATTTACGGAGCAGGAACTTAACGATTGCATATCTGCAGGAGCGGATTTTAAAAGGTGGTGACATCGGTTTTATGAACGATATTTCGAAGTACGTGTGCTCATTTCTGCCATACAGAGAATATCACGTAGTGCACATTGCCATTTTGTACTATTATCACCCAAACGCATGCGGAGAATTTACAGAAGAGGATGATTTTGAGCTGATGCAACTGCACAAGTTGATTGGACCACGTTGGGAAGCGATATCCAAGGAAATGCTGAGCACACGCTTTCGAGTCAATCGCAGATATGTTGCGTTCCAGAACTTGAAGAAACAGAAGAGTTGTGAGGGCGATTTGTACCGCGAGTACTTGAACACGAGGAATATTGAGAAAGTTGCTGAGAAGTACAACGTAAAGCGGTTTTTTGTGAGGAAGAGAATTAATGAAGAGATTGCCAGGGTGTACATGAACCAATGGGACGATTACCATGATTTTGCTATGGCGGTGTTCGTGGCCAAATACAACTATTACTGCGGGATAAATGATATTGGAAAGATCTTTGATATGCTGGAGAAGTGGGTGGTGGAATATAGCGTGGATGAGGTTGGAGGAGCGGTAGAGGCAAAAACACTGGCCTCGTGCGAACGGGTGATGAATGCTGAGGGCATAGCGAGACGGAATGAGAGCGAGGCTGGTAAGGAGGCAGCAGGTAAAGAATTGATAAGCGATGAGAGCAACAGTACCGATAGAGTGAAACAGTGTTATGAGAGAATTGTGCAAAGGAACGAGGCAGTGAAAACCGAGATTAGCCGCTTCCTCACCCGAGATATGGATTTCAATGTAGAAATACAGGAGGATGATGTCTTTTGGGTGAGTGTGAGAAACGAGTTTAGGAGTAAATTTCAAGGCGATGTGGTAAACGTAGAACCATCTATCGTACGCTCAAAATTTTGCATACTTTGTAAGAAGAGCGGTATCGTGTGTTACAAGGACCTGATCGAGTACATAGAGATCAAGGCGGTGCATCTTCTGTTTGAAAGGATGAAGAACAAGTTTTAGTGTCGTAGCAAGGAACCTTTTGCATTTACATCGATAGGAGGATGATCTGAGTGAATAAAAAACGCGTTATGTTGTTTGTACCAAAGTTAAGTTAAATTGCATTTTAAGAATGTGCCGCATCCATTTTGAGTGGCATAGCGGTAATTCAGTGCTAAACTCGGATCAAATCGTTAAATAAAGGCAGATTTGGCCAACACATTTTTTTTGTGCCAGCTTTACTACTTTATTTCAGAACAAAAAAGTTTCTTTTCCAGGACGTGAGAAGAGAAAACTACGCAAGGAAAGTATGTTTAAAGATACCTAGGATGGGAAGACAAGGCTTTAACGCAGGTACAACTTGTTGTTACACGCTGTATATAGTATCAGAAATGGTGTATGTGCACATCATTGCTGCTAAGATTTTGTATCCATCCATATTATTACTTAGATCAAGCAATGCTTGGTGCAACACTATCCCGTATTACAAGATGTCATTCTTACCATTCATGTAACCATGGCCATCAACGCAGGCCGTTCTTAACGAAAGGTAAAAAGCAAAAATCATCAAACACTACAACAACTAACGCTCAACCGTTCGTAATTCACATTTATGGCCAATGTTTTTAATTACGTGGTGTGCATGGCACTGAATAGAAGGACAGCTGACCAGAAATGTTTACGGTATTGTGGTTAGATTTGCAGAATAGCAATTAAGGCATTTTCTGCAAATTTACCCACATCCTGCACAGCTACAAAAGCAGGGATCTTTCGTACTATTTTTAATTATTCTTAACGCTACAATTCCTACTTTTTTCTACGGAAAACCACCGCAACATCGACCATTATCTGAAACACCACGCTCACAATTAAAAACACTGGCGGATTCAACTTAATGGTCCAGATCAACTTGAGAATATCACCCAGCGCCCACATTAAAAACAACTCTCTGGGATACTCCACCTCCTTTCCCAGCGAATACTTGCTCTCCATCTCAATGATAAGCAGCTGCACAAGGCCCACACTACACTCAGCAACGAGGAACAGCGGCCCAAAGACGGTGTACACGTACCGCGTCCTGAATATGAGACTGATAGTGGCGATCATGAGAACGATGGACACGATAAGAGAGAAAATGAGCGAGAACATGCCGTAACGCCTGTAGCTCTTCTCTGTAAACCTGTTAAGAACGAGCTTCTCCTCCAGTATAGAGAGTTCCTGCTTGGAGAGGTACAACAGCACGAAATGGAACAGAACAAGGAACACACTCTGCAACACGATTTCGAGCGGAAAGTGCTCCGACTGCCAATACAACAGCTTCATGACATTCGCCAGGATTACAATGGTGGAAAGGATCGGAGCGAACGTAATCTTGCGCTTTACAATCTGTGGGATGAAACCGATGCAGGGCGCGAACACAAACACAATGTTTCCGAGTATTTGCATTATTTGTGATAGCAGCATTGAGGGGTTCTTTTTTTGTTTTGTAAATTAAAATGATATTTTGATAAAAATAGGAAGTTTTGTTTTCCATCAGTGTTTCGGTACAAAGAACTTGGCACTATGCTGGTGTGTTGCGAGATAGAGGGCCGTGGGCATGCGGGTGCATGAGGGACTGTCTTTGGCTATGATGCATTATTCTGAAGAAAAGCGCAGTACTTACAGATTGAGTTGTTATGGCAGCACATCAGTTAGGTCTGGTGATTTTTGCGCCACGTCATCACGCATATAAATGTTTCTCCTTTTAACAAAACGTAAAAGGCAATTGTTTACCACACAAGGATGATATTAAATCATAGAGGATCGAAACGATGCGTACTAGTACGCTTATTAAGTGTGAATACAGTGTTTGAGATCAGCTGCACTTCCTGTGCATTAAAGAAGTGATATGAAAGAATCATTTTTGAAAATATGAGCAAACGTTAACGGAAAAGCATATCTAATGGAATGTGGAGAAAGGTAAAAATAACGATGGAATGTGGTGGCGGTACGGTTTGTGTTAAAGATGGCTGTAGAAGAGAATTTTTATTGGTAAAACAAATTGGGACTAAAACATTGAAAATCTGTGATGATCATCGGATGAACAGCATATACGGCCTAAACAACGCTGCAAAGCAATAAAAATTGTTAAATTTGTGCAATTTTACGTTTTAACCAAGAATCATTCCAAAATATTTATGTTAACGGATTTTTATACGAAAAAGTTTATAATTGAGCGCAAGAACGGATCGATAATAAAATTGCGGTGAGCATTTTTATAGCAAATAATTGTGTTGAGAAGAAATAAAAGGATTTGCAGTGAAGAGAAAGGAAAAGATCATAGCAGAGCGAAAATGAACGTTAGAAGAAAGAACCATACGTTGTAACCATTCCTGAAAATAGGACGCGTTTGCAGAAAATAGCTTTACATACGCTGCGCCACGGTTATTTTTATGGTGGCACGCAGTTATTGCATGTATCAGCGCTTTACGCTCACCACAAATTGATAATTCTCATTTGATGAAGATAAGCAGTGCAGGTACGCCTCCCTGATGTAACTGTACGGGGTCCCCTCAGCATTTGTCCTCTTGTCTTGAAGAACGAGCCAGGGCTTGTGAATGGAGTGTCGTATTCATCCCTCTTCCAGAACAATGTGTTTGTTCAGGTGGTGTGATCTATGAAGTGCGGATGAACGACTTTTAACGAAAAGTTTTGCTCATCTCTCTCATTGCTGTGCTCTAGCACTGCTCATGTTAAAAAAATGGTGAAGAACAAATTAATTGCCAGCATCTATCACCACCCTGCCATAGCAGGTCATACGACCATTATTTGCACTTTACGGTGATGATAGCCGTAACGGAGTCTTGTCTTGACAATGTCGCATACCGGTCCCAAATGCCGTTTAGAACGAATCCCCGTTTCATGCCAGTCTGCGATAAAAATGCCTGCTGTCCAGGATTGATGGCTTATTTGTGACAGCTTTGACGTGCGAACAGTTTTATCAGATGGTAATTTTCTTAAAACGGTTCATTACCGCGAAAGCGCTGGCTGTCATTGTAGACGGTACATTTCGAAAATTACGAGCATTGTGGTAAGAAACGAGGCATTTTGTCTCCTCGTACAGCCAGAGTTTCAGTTGTTAGTATTTCTACGATGTTAAGATCGCTTGAGCACGCTGGTCCGTACCAAATCTAAATTTTAGACCAATTAAAACGAAAGAATTGAAATTGGAGAAGAGCATTACTTTAAATGTTTTGCACATACTTGGAATGTAGTGCACACCGATGCACGAATGCAATGAAACCAGTATTAAACGCAATGCACATACTTAGAGTGTAGTGCACACCATGAGATGTATTTATAGCGATTAGCACCTTCTATGTGCTTACCGCGTACCTGTACGGCAATTCGGATGAGTACCGCTGAATGGACGGGTAGTATCCCATGAGATAGCAGGACTCAGAACAATTATTGCGTATCGACCGGTTGACCGCTAAAATTGCGAAATATCGGCTGTCTTGCATTGAAAAGAACCTCATAAATACGGTGGTGCAAACCGGGTATGCACGCCATGGATTGTTACAGTTAAAGGATTCGTTTGGCACGATCATATCTGTTGAAGAGCACCAATCATGTTTGGATGAATTATTATGTTCTATTTTCATATCTTGGATGATTTGGTGCTCATATGCTTCGCAATTCGTTAATTTGCTGGGCATCTGTTATTGCCACTTGAGTGCTATTTGGCACAAGTTTAGTCCTTAAATAGATGTAATTTATTTCGCAGGCCAGGCACATCAATTAATCGAGATGTTTAACTCGCGGTTTCTCGTTCGGCTGCCGTAACGAACGATAAAATTTTTTAGAACATACAACCCATGAAACTGACACTCAGCCACCACATAATCGTAGCATTGGTGTCAATTTCCGTAATCATGTTCGTTTTTTACCAGGCCAGGACGATAAAAATGCAGGATGCTCTCAAAATGATTTCATCCAAGTTGGACACGCTCGAAAATCTCATTGGACTGATAAAAATCAGCGAAAACGATTCCGAACCGATTCCTTCCAATGTGATCAAAGAGTTGGGCGGATCAAAAAAGCATCCTGTGGTTATCATTCCGGGCTTTGCATCCTCTCATCTTGAGATATGGAACAGCGATGATCATGACTTGTGTTTCAAAAAAGTGTGGGGCTCTCTTGATGGACTGAGACATATGCTGATGGACAAGGCATCATTCCTGTCCCATTTGAAGCTGAAGAGCAATGGCAATGATCCTGAAAACATAAAGGTGCGTGCAGGCAAGGGTATAGAATCGTGCTCGCACATGCTGCCGGGATACTGGGTGTGGTCCAAGATTATTCGGAGTCTTTCGTTGCTCAACTATGATAGTAACTCGTTGATTGTGTTTCCGTACGATTGGAGAATTTCGTTTGAACAGTTGGAGCAGCGAGACGCGTTCTTTACCCGACTGAAGAACGAGGTTGAGATGTTGTACCGGATACACAACGAAAAGGTCGTGGTATTGGGCCATTCCATGGGAGCAGTGATTGCCCACTACATGATGCACTGGGTGGAAGAGAAAGAAAAGGGATGGTGTGACAGGTATCTCCAGGGACTTGTTAACATAGCAGCGCCACAGCTAGGGGTTCCTCGGTCGTTTACAGCGATAATGTCGGGAGATTGGGGCGTGCAGACCACCTCAAGGTTCAACTTTTTGAAGATTTTTTTCTCGCAGTCCGAGCGGGCCGTTCTGCTTCGGAACTGGGAGAGCGTCATGAATTTACTGCCAAAGGGAACGAACAGGATATGGAAACATTTTATTGGGCGGTCTGCAAAGATGAATGGGCGAGCACAAGAACAATCGCAGGAGGAAAGCAAGAACAAACAAACCGACGTACCGCTGGTCAGGTTCACCGACAACAGCGCACGTATCTATGTTGAGCAGATAATTCATTTTGTCAAGGTTCTTCTGGGAAGAGACATTACCAAAATAAAGTACTTCGATCCCACAAAGACGCAGCTACCAAAAGCACCGGAGATGACGATATATTCATTTTACGGGATAGATAGCGAGACAGAGGGTGGATACTGCTACAAAACGGCGGGTCAAACGCTCAACAACAGAGGCATACCCTATTTTATCGACCGAGATGCGTATGACGAAGACATGAGATGCAGAAAGGGCGTATTTGTGGTGAATGGAGATGGAACCGTTCCTCTGATCTCGTTGGGCTATATGGGGCGAAAGGGATGGAAAAACGAACATATCAATCCGGGAAATGTTAGGACCATCGTGAGGGAGTACAGGCACAGACCTGTAAATCTTTTGAAGGACCTGCGTGGTGGCCCAAGTTCGGCTGGTCATGTTGACATATTGGGCAACACAAATCTCATAATTGATGTTCTCAGGATTGTCAGCGGTACAGGCGAGGTCAGTGACAGGGTTTACAGCGAGCTTGACGAGATAATTAGAGACATTGAGGATGAAGAAAAATCAATATGAAAAAATTAAGTTTATTTTGTGAAACGGATTGTGGTCTGCGACCGTTTGCTGTGTTTGTTAAAGTTTGATATGCAGATTTCATCTTAGTTTGTGAACGATCTCAGTTCGCTGAAAGCGCTATGTTTGATCTATGAGGGCATTGCTACTCAATATTTTGCACAAATATGGTTCGTTCGATATTTGCAAGCGTGCTAGAAACGTTGTTCTACCGTCTTAAAACCAAGGAAACGAACAAGACACCGTTTTTGTGCTATGCCAGTAATGATAGATTTTGGCTACAACTAACAAAAAGTATACGGTAGAGGAATGTCCTCCAACTTAACATAATGCTGCTAATCCCTATATCGTGTCACGGTAATGTCACAGCACCCATAGATGTTACAGATGTATTTGTATCAAGCCTGATTAGATTAGATGTTAATCTCACAGAACGTGTGTTGGCCTGTGGCGGCAGAATATCTTAAATGCGGTTTATTTGTGCAAAAACAAGTGATTAAAGAAGATTATGTTACAATACATGGATTGATCTTGGATTGTTGTGTTTGTACACATCGAACCGATTGCTGTTTAATGGTGAGATTTTGGTTACGAAGTGACCGTTTGCTTAGAAGCAAAGCAGTTTCAGCTCGTGACACGTTATTGATGCAAAAATTTGTTTATTCTGGTAAACGTTTTAGTTTTTACAAATTAAGACACGTATCACGTTTGGTTCAATGACTGCAACCACTCGTGTTAGTATCCATAAAAATATTTAGATGAAAGTTTATTACAATTTTACGTTTGAACTACCGCTTTTGAGATGAAACATTCCACTAGTGGCTGAGATAAGTCATGTTAAAAGACCATCAACAGGATATTTCTGTGATCGTCGTACCTAAAATTGTTTTACCCGTCAAATATTCAAAATATGTGAGTGTCCTGCAAAAATATGCAGCTTTAAACATGTCGTATATCAAATGCTGTTACAGACAGTATTACATGCTTTGTTTAATTCACCACTGTTCTGTGCAAGATAAGTAAACGTGGTGCTTTTAAAAATTGCACTAATTTATTTTGTTTCCGGTTTTTTCCAATAAACGTTGTATTCATCAGATCGCTACTGTGAATCGTAAGTTATGAATGTGAGCAATTTATTGGTTCCTTTTGCCTAATTTGGTTCTTCGATGATGATAACGTCGTTTACATCAACTGTAATTCAACGGCGCACGCGTGCAAATAATGAAAGTGCTAAATTGTCGGTACATCCGTTTTAGTTGCGGTTGGTCATTTGGTTCCCGACCATTGCCTGAGATTTTGTAATTTATGTTATAATTCGATGCTTTTACAAGTCCAACTCAAACAAAGACATCTCCAACATTAAAACAGCGCATTGGCGCAATTGAAGTATTTAATGCGGATATCTGTAACTGGAATAGTAAGTAACTAAAAATTGCTACTCTAGAAGATAGTTCATTCAGTGTTGGTATCGGATATTCGTAATTTTAATGGTTATAATACTACCTAGTGAAACTGCCAAAAAAATAAATAAATTTTAGAGAATATTATTTAGTACCCAGCCGACTTCGTCGGGTTATTTTCGTTTGTTTTGTTTGACTTCTCCGTGCTATCCTCATCGCATACAGTGTATGTAAACTTGTCCTCTTTCTTTTTCCTCTCTTCTTTCGACCCCTCTTCTTTCCTTATCTCGTAATCGGTGGGCTCATTGCTATTATCATCGCAGATAGTGTACTTATAGTTCTCGTCATCTTTTCCCTCTTTTTTATCTTCCTTATCGGCAAGATTGGACTCCTCAATTTTGTTACTTCCGTCGACCTGCTCAATATCGTATTTTGACCTCAAGTTATCGACTATCGATTTACCGTATATTGTCAGTATTAATGAACAAAAGCAAAGAATCAGCCTCATTAACAAGCAATCCGTCCCAACATTTATATTTTTTTGATACTAATCCTCACCAATGATTTATATCCCGAATAAGTGTTGAAACACTTGCAATCTTATCGTTCTCTGATGTTTTGCAAATATTTATGTATTTGGTGATAGCGTAATGTACAAATCAGATCAAGATCGTTATGAAGAAACCTATTTACGCCTCCAACTTTGACATCATGAGCGGCCAAACAAATTATGAGAAAAGCACAGAAACCTGGATGAATAATTGTATTTACTAGAGTCACATTTATTCATTGTTGCGTTCAGAATAACGATACATAACAGCCATACTCACTCATGTATGCAGATAAGAGTTTGAAAACAACAAAAAGGTGATATACATCTTATTTATCATCATCGACATAATAAAAGACAACTTGGAAGCTGATCGGTCAGTTCTGAAAAAAATTTTGCTTGGTATTTTTACACGAAAGAAAAAGTTGAGAACTTTTTTCCGAGACAATCACAGCTTTCATTTACAAACAATATTAAGTATGGCATCACTCAAAAACAGATTTTTTACTGTTATTCAGAAAGGTAAGAAACGAAAATGGCTACAAACAAAGCAAAGCGGTAACACCGAAAACAGGATATTGTTTTTATGAATAACTAGGTGTAATTCCGTTTCATAAACAAAAATAGCACAGCTAGTGTACATATAAAATTACTAATAAGCTTATAAATTCCCTTTTTAGCTGCTAAGAGAGAGCATAGTTCTTTTCTATAGAGTTTATGAATCACATAAACAAAGGAACTCTACCGTTGTAAAATTCATATAGCACAATTTTTTTAATAATTCGGTATAAAATTGTTTTATATCGTTAAAGTGCCGTAACTACATGTGTAATAAACGTATATTTATCGATATAGTATAGAAAGAGCAATACCAAACATTTTATGGCGTATAGCCTCAAAATATTAAGCTGTAGCAGTTGGACTGTTGGCAGAAAAAACAGCACTATGTTTAACAATCGAATTCATTTAATTTAAAGATAATATACACCCAAGGCTCGTCTGTTAATTCAAACCTTTAGTAAAACGTATTGGTACAAAAACTAAGGATGATCTTACTATCGGTGCAGTTGCACACAAAAAGAAGTTTTATCAAATTTGACATGAGTAGATAATATTTAACAGTTACCAGCACATGAATAAAGGCTTTTGCATTCATATACGGTACTAGGTACAGTCTGTAACCAGACACTAAAAAGTGTGTTAAAGGGCTGCAAGCGTAGTAATACTGATTAGACACATTATCAGTCCAGGAACTGTTCTAAAACTCATAGATGAACTTATTACTTTTTTATTGATATCATGAACGACTGCTTAAATACGAGTGTATCGGCAAAAGTCGGACCCGTGTTACCCAATTAGAAATGGTAGCATGGCTGTGCCAGTTAAAATTCACGTCGTTTGCATCGTTCCAAACCATGTTGAAAAAAACATCACAGCATTCAAAAGAGGGCATAATTACTCTAACACTCTCTAAGAATCGCCTAAGCAGCTCTCGAGGAACAGTGGTCTGATCAATAAAATATTTAGAAACCACCTGGTTGGGTATTTGTCTTACTTCAGTGGTGATGGTCGAATCCAAAATATTCCCTTCGCATTGAATGAATGATTTTATATTGAAAACAGGAGAGACATCGAGAAAGTTCAAGGGAAGAAATTCAATAAAGTTACCCTCATTCTCGTAGTTACCATGATCAGTAAATTTGAAGAAAAGTAGAAATTGCAACCGGCACAGACTTACATATCGTATGATGTCGGAATAGCTCATCGATAAAACGTTATGGAAAACATAAACCAAGAAAAACTCACGAGTGTACAGTTGGTAAAACAAAATATCGTGGTCACGCAAATCTTTTCGATCCAGACCCTTTCGTCCAATAATGTTCATAAATAATTGGACGAGTAGTTCGAATTTACGCATTACATAATAACCTATGTACAACTTGTGTGTATTATCGTAGCGTTTACCGGCAGTAATGTCGTAGAAGTACTGTCTCAGGGAAAGTAGCTCAGGAAATAGTAGCAGTTTCACACTTAAATTTGAACAAAAAAAAATTGATAGCTGGTTGTAGATGATGGTTTTTATATCCAATCTGTTGAGCGTTCTGAAAGTCGATGAATTGATTCCAATAATTCTAAAGAACACGTTAACGTTTTGGATTAGCAAAGGCATCACTTTGGTGTAGCATAAGTTTGTAATATCCTTGATCAGTTCAGCATCATCCTGTAATTTGGTCAAATAGAACATCATATCATCACTTTGCGTTTTTTTAAGTGCCTGACAGATATTTAGATACGAAACAACATGTTCTTGATTAATGTTCCTAGTATTTATTATGTCTGGGTGACTCATTGCAGAACATGAACCATGCCATCGTGTCGTGATGGTGGGATCATGTGTTGTTTGATGTTCAACACCATAACAATCATCATTGTGTTTTGATTTGTAATAGCTATTGTGTTTTTGGCATAATATTTTGATTGAATCAAGAACATGTTTGGCAAGCAGGTGTTCGTTTGGAGAATGAGATATGGAAGTATTCAAAAAACACAGCATGTTATCGTATTGTAAGTGAAAGCTCGATTTGCTTGATGTATCATCTATGTACTTCCCATAAGAAACATGCCACATCGTATTTAAAATGCTGTAATATATGCGCATCGGTAGTGCCAATTTCGATGACCAATTTCTAAATCTTAAACCGGTCATTCTTCTTGATTCGCAGCTATCGTTCATATTATACATCATATCAGATATATTATGATTGTTCTCTTCTATTTTTTCGCCCGAAGTTTCATTACACCCTTCATACGGCTTCTTTCGAAAATGTGTTTTGCGCCCTTGCAGATATTTGCAGGCATTTCCGGCGATTGTTGGAATATCGGTCTTTTTACTGAGATTTTTGCCGAGAGATATCTTCGACTCGGGAGAATGCTCTTCTTCACGAAACAACTCTGATTTATGGTCGACATAAGAAGAGGTGGATGGCTGTTGATCCTTACATGTTCTTTCAAGACATGTTTCTTGACCTGTGTATCCTACTTTATGAGCAGATCTGTTCACTTCCCTGTTATCCTCTCCTAAAACATTAGTACAGGTATTTTTTCGGCAAGGCATCTCCCTTTCATCATCAGGACGAATAGCATCACTATCTTTTGCTATAACCATCTTCGCATGGTCTTCAACGCGCTGCTTATAATAATTCATTGTCTGGTACACTCCAAGCAAATCCGAAACCGGATTCTGTGAAGCATTCAGGTATGATATATAATGCAAGCTAAGCACTGAGAAGTACATTTCAAACATGAAAGGTACAATCAGAGAACTAAATATACCAGTGATGTATTGATTTGCTGTCATGGCAAATATTTTAAAAGGAAGGATACGCACAAAAAAAGGAACATCTCTATTCAAAATGGAAGATGTACGCAAAAAGAAAACGTTAATATTTTATTATTTGTCGATATCACCGTTTTATTTTCATCAACAAACATATAAAAATCCTTATTTTTATAACTACACCTCTTGTCATTTAGTTGATGACAGCTGTCATTTCTTCTTAATAAATATCTCGATTCTTATTTCCACCAAGTTTCCATATCTAATCTTCTGCACATACGAAGCAGACTGCAACCTAAAATATAAATTTAGTTTAAATAAAGATAACATACTTTGGAATAGCTAAGTAAAGCAATTAGCTATAGTATGTGCTAATAGCATAGTGTTGCTGTAACTTATTGTATCAGACCCTTTGAGATATTGGCTAGTTATTAATTTTATTTTTATTACATTTATCACACTTATATTACTGAGGAACTTTTTGACTGTTACCATATTTGTATCGTTAAAGATGTTGATGCAAATGTTATCAACTGTTACCATGACTAAGTTGATTAGTGAGTTCAAAGCTTTAGATTATTATATTTTGTACAGGATGAATAAGCCGATAGGAATGTAACTAAAAAAATTTTAAAATGGGCTGTAACTTCCTAAATACAATATAATGTTTAATTACACATGACTATCAACTCAGCATAGAGGTATATAGTTAAAGCTACCATACACTCATGTCAATACAAAACAAAGTACCTCCTTAAGTACAATATTCATCGTGGTGCTGTACGGCAGATTTATCTAATGTTGAAAGAGGAAATTGTTGCTCAACAACAACAATTGTGTCATATTTCATTCTGTATAAAGAAAGTACGAGAAGAACTGCATCAAGAAACATAAAAAAAGATAACTACAACATCAAAATGTAGAGTTATCTATTATATAGGACGATCAGGTGAAATACATTGTTTAAAACATATTGATTCTTGAGCAAGCAAATCTTCTGTATGAACTCGTAGATACCATGGAACTAAAGTATTTTACTCACCACTGTACAATCATCCATCCCATCAATATATTTTGTGATCACCTTCGCAAGTCTAACATATTTCGTTGCATTCAAACACTTTTCTATGCTTGTTCTGAACACCTGTTTGAACGATGATAAGCGCAATTTAAACAATTTCTGTAATAACACCTGTTTGTGGAGTATTTTGCAGATTATATCTTTTGTCAACGTACATTTCATAATTTTTATGCGGATGTTTACGAAATAAATTACAGCAACAAAGAATAGCATGTCATAGGAATTAAGAACATTTTCCATGTTGGTTGCTCATCATGTACAAATATTCCAGTATATACAACAAAAATGCTTCGTAATGATATGGCATGTGAGTGATAAATTAATGACCTTCAGTGTAACAACGTTGCTGACACTCGGGCTGACAATTTGATCAAAAAGAGTCATCGACTAGAACATTCGATCCCTCCATAGATCAAAAATCGTGTAAATCAATGCCAGCTCAAGCGGACCAGAAAAACATCGTTTAAGTGTTGCTGCTACATAAAGAGATAAATAAACACGTTAATAAAAAATGAGAGCTACTTTGATTCAGAATAAAACGCAAAATAAACCATTATGGTACAAAATATTATTTTTTTGACAAATATGTTCATCGGAATTATATGTCCTCATTTATTATAGAAGTATCAAATTACAGAATTTACTTACTAAAATAGTTTATTTATCTCCCTATGCTACGGCAAAATCTACTATTTACTAAATTTGCTCACTTACCTCACTAAACCATCTGCCCATATTTCCATCCATTAGCCACCCCCTCAAAAATGTCCGATCAAATTCAAAACACCTTAGAATCAACACTACCAGCCCTTAAGCATCTTCTCGACACCCACAAACTCACCAAACAACAAGTCTCCAAGATCATGGAGAGGCGCAAGCTCATGCTACATCGTCCATTTACGAAGGATAATGCGTTGAGATTTCTTGAATATGAAAGCAAGCTTGATATGTATCTGAAGCATAAGGACAGCTACAACACATTTTTAGATGTTTTGTACAAACGGGTGATCTGTAAGTTTAGAGATGAGGCTGTGTTTACGATGTTTGTTAAGCATTTGATTGGTGAACGAATAGTTTGTGATGATGAGGGAGATAAGAAAAACAACCGCAGTTTCGATGTTAACAGGGCACGGTACGTTGATAAATACTCTCTAAACACTTTAAAAACGTTTTGTCTTACCTATCTTAAGAGGAATAGAACGCAGTATTTAACATTATTGATGGCGAACACATTTTATAAAATAGGTGATGTGAATACGGGCAGAAAACTGTTCGTGGATGCCATGCGATTGAGCACTGATAAGAGCATCACCAAAATGATGATGGAATGTGAGCAGGCATGTCACAGCACGTATCAAACAACGAGTAGCAAAGAGATAATTGAGGCATTGAGGAAAGAATTGGAATAGAGACCTATAAACAGGTCATTAAACAGTTTGTTGGTGCAGAAACGTCCAAATAAACTTGATTGTTCACATAAAGCATGCTTTTCGTTGTTTAACAACGGTACTTTATTCAATGTTGACATGAGGAGCATTCATTTTTACATTCATATCAGCAAAGCAACATCAAAACATTCCCGTACAGCTAAATGTTTGTTTTAATGCCTGTGATTAACGGCAAGATGACACTAACTGCGATATTTGAGTGCAACAAAAGGTGTGCGCATTATTCTCAAAATGTGATTGCTCCACTCTTTTACATTTTTTGCCGTAGATCGTGCTGTGCTCCCCATGTTGTGCGGTTTTAATCATCACTTGTTACGTATAGGACACCGTATTCATCGTAGATACAAAGAAGTGATGATTTCAATTAAAATCCCTTGATTAACCAGAAACTCAAAAAAGCATCTGAACTTCCTTAATTCATATAAATCGCTGTATTCTCATGGCGTATTTAAATGCTCGTAACTTAAACATCTTACAATCAATCCCTAACTCTTATATCATTCAATTCTACTTATGATTTTCAACACGTTATTTTCATCCACACGTAGTAACACGGCACTAATATCATAAATTTTCTTTCTTTCCAACTTGTAATCATTCTTCTCATTTACCAGCAAATTATCAAAGATGTCCATTTCTATCATCATATCACCAATACTTTCATTATTTCCTATCAGAACATACTTACCTTTTTGTTCTCTGCTCAGTTTCTCATCATTATTTCCATTTATGTCTATTTCAGCGCCTTGCACATCATTTGATGCGTTGCCGTGAACATCGTTTATTTCATAGTATCCCACCGTAATACCCTCATCCATTCCCAAGTAATATCCCCGTGTTTTAATTCTTTTCATTTCGTTGATCACCAACGAATCGCACAGCTCTTTAATTTTTTGTAGTTCCACCTCCACTATATTGATGAATGGCACAATCTCCATGTTCAGCAAACATCCATTTATCTTTATTTCTTCTGTGCTCCTCACCTCCAAGTTGTGGTAACCTATGGCACCTGATATAAATGCGCCCTCAACTTTTTTCTTTATCTCCACAGCCTTCAAGTTCCTTTTATAGGTGCTCGGACCACCACTGACAGTATTGGCACCAGAATTACCATCACCTACCACGTGTTTCTTCTTGGTGATCGTGGTAAATACGGTGCTAACATATACATTAGTATCAATTATCCTCATATTCTCTAAAATAACGTAATCACGCGCATCCAATTCGTAAAACACCTCTTCACTGGTGTTAAACATGTAAATGATTGCTTCTCCTATTCTCATGAGGTAAAATTCCTCTATCTTGTCATTGATCAGGAAATACGTTCCTTCTGATTTTCTCTTACGTAGAAGAATTGAGATGTAATTTATTCTCCCTTCTATAGGGTGTAAGAAAGGAAATGACATGGTGGGTGTATCGAAAGGGCTGAGCGAAAGTTGTACTTTTACAAATGCGTCGAGTGGTGGCGCTGATTTTTCTTCTGTTTTAATTCTTTTTGAGGCTTTCTCCAAGGAATGTTTTTTACCCAGAGATTTCTTTTTTTCCTCAGCATGATTATCTTCATTAAGCGAGACGTTCGCACCTTTATCATTTACTTCTGTGACTGTTTTTGCATCACTTACTTCCTTAGCTATTGGCTTTTCTTTATCCGTTCGTTTTCTGCTTCCTTTATCGCTACCATCCGCACTGTCTTCGTCATTAACTCCTTCGATATCACATATGTAAACCTCATCTCTTCCATTTACACTAAATTCTTCACAATCAAACATCCAAACATCACTATAACTGTTGTAAACTATAACACCGTTGTTGTAGTATCTGTTCTTCTTTCTACATCTTGGTATTACTACCGTATCATTACGTTGTAAATTGCAGTACTTATAGACAGACCTGTTCCACAAAACTACCGTAACTAATTTGTCCTCGATAAGATCAAGGACCACAAGTATCTGGTAAAAAGGGAATGAAGTGTGTTTGTATGCAAGTATTCTACTCTTAAAAATTATTTTGGCTACAAAGAATGGATAAACTGACTGAGACGAAGTCTCTACTCCTCGGGTTGGACTAGAAGTAATGCCTGGATTGTATTTTCCTGGTTCAAAACTTGTTTTCTTTTTTCTCTGTTCATTTTTTAACATTTCATACTTAATCTTACCGTTAAGGTAGAGGGTGCCGTTTTTATAAATGGCTTCCAGTCGTTGTGGTATCGTTTTAAAGAACAGTGGTGTGTCGCTAAGAAATGGCAAATAGTTCATTTGTTCGGCCATATCATTCTTTTCTTGACCATTTTTTTCCGCTCGTACCAAATATCGCTCGGCAACAGCACCCTTATCAATTTCATTGCACTCATCCTCTATTAAAACACCTTCATCACCGTCCCTCATGGTTACCTTGTCACCAATACGGTATTTGCCCATAACTACCTTACCGTATATACTTGGTGATAGTTTATAAGTCAAGTATTGGTCATCATTTTTTACTGTTACATCAAAATAACACGTAAAGCCCTTGTTTTGAGTGCTATGATACCGATGGATACTTTGTATAGCAAATACCATTTTGGAGGGGTAACAAAATTTTATGTGTTTGCTCCCCGTAACACGCAATAGAAGCACGATATGTAGGTCGATGCATAGCCGTGTTATTCGTACGTCAATTACTCGATAATGATTGTACATGTTGTGTTATCAGTTCAAATGAATGATCTTGTATAACTAACATTGCATTATACGATAATGACCGTTCATGAAGAGGTATACGCGCATCAATATCCTATAAATAATGGCATGGAATGTTTCGGAACAAAATACAAGTATAATATCTGAACTTGGTGCTCATGTCACAGGATAATAGAATCGTAATAACTTCTGAAAAATAAAGAATGTGTTAATGCATGCTGTTGTAATGGGGAACATATTGTGTGTAAATTTGTAAGCATTGATTGCTGTTCCATGCGCATGTTTGTTACTTTTTCTAGAAATACACCTATTTATCACCTCACAGAACAAAATGTCTTTCTCTGCTGCCACACCATATGCATTGTTCACAAAACATCCTCGTTAAATTATGCTAGAATATTTTGTACACGAGCACATAATAACAAATAAACAACATTGATATTAGAAATACTCGGTTAATGTTATGTGAGGTGATAAACAAACGTACTTTAAGAAAATACCAATAGTAGAAGTGGTAGTAGAATGGTGTAAAACATGTTCTACACAATTTATGTTTTTAAAACTGACTTTGCATATTTACAAAACCAAGCGCATCTTGTTGAGTGCATAACATGTCTATCGTGTTTTTATACATCGATCTCATCGGTAAAAAATACTATTTTATCCCCTGCAATGCAACTTGATGTAATGACTACAGACAAGCGGCTGTACACCATTCCAGAGAAGATGGTAAATGACTGCATCCTTTTCAGAGACATTGTAAATATGACCGATCAATGCTCACCAATTAACATTCTCATGCATTCCTCTGTTTTAGAGTTTATAATGGGATTCTCTGAAATAAACACGATAAATCTACCGGAGAATTACGATGCTACACAGATAGTGTTCCCTCAGGCAGTTTTCGATTTTATCAACTGCCTTGATTTCCCGACTTTGAATGATATATGCACAGCAGCTAACTATCTTTACTATCCTGCACTGCTTGAGCTGTGTTGCAAGGTTATCTCTAAGAAGTTACGGGACATAGAGGTTGTGAGTGGTGAAACGGCCAATGAGTTAACGTGGATATCATCGGATGAAGATTCTTAGATTGTATGCATGCGTAGGAAACGCTAGTTTGATGTGAATAAATGATAGATGTGAAAAATGTAATGATAAATTTATGCTTGTGCGGTTTAAATAAATAAGATACAGATGCGTTCTAGAATGTTTTTGGATAGGAATATGATTCTATAAAAGCCATGCTATTTAAATATGGAGCAACAATTTATTCGCATAAACAACAAAACCATACATTTAAGTAACACATACAGTGTTCTATATCAAGGAAATGTGTGCTTATTTAATGAGATACATCAATTATATATCTCATAACGATGCCACTTTCCCATATGAACGTTAACAAGCACCAAAATGTGCTATAGCACTAAACCATAATGAAATGTTTGATGCCCTTATACATGGCAATCAAAAAATATGGCAACAAGGACATGCAGACATAAACTCAAGCTTTCACAGCAAAGAACAAATTGATCCAACAAAACACGTTTTTTTTGCGTATCTGGTAGCATGAATGCACAAAGAGAATAGCTGAGTAGTAGGATGGTTCATTTATACGATGACCACCCAACAGCAAAGAATTGCTCTCATCTATCTTTGGTACAGAAACATAAAATTCCAGGTTAAAAAATTGAAATTACCCTACACTATAAACTAAGCTAACCATTGAAAATCTTCTGCGCATAAATAAAGTTTTCTGTTCATTTTTATCATCGTACTAACTGTACTATCCCGTTTGTCAAAAACAGATCCATGAATGTGCCTACATGCATTTATTAACGCAGCTCATCAGTTGCCCGATTAACAGCAACAATTTTCTAAAACAATAAAGGTGAATTAATAAAATTAGCAAATCTAAAAATGCTTGTCACGCTTTTATCGGTGTATGACAGCTATACTATCTCACAGCACACGGCACAAATCGCTTTCTTGCAAGATATGTCGTCCGTAGTATGTTCGAATAGATCACAACATCATACCAATTTTTACTTTTGGTAAACACTTCATTATTGTTAACATGACAGAGCAGCTATCTCAACACAAGCGGTTTTAAATCGCTTTACGAACCAACAAATTTTCTGCAGCAATGGCGTTGATAATGTGCAAGAGACACAATCCATTGTGTTTAGATTGACAGCATCATTCATGCTGTTGGCATATGTCATCAATATGTTATGGACTGCTTGAATACATGCAATCACCAGTTTCTTAATACCTGCGAAAGCTTCAAAATATTGACATAACATAAGTTGGATTAGTTCTTTTTGTGCTAAACCCATGCCAATATGAAGAGTGTGGAGTTTAAGATGCACCACATTCTTACTCTCCACCAAATTCCATTTGTTCGCATCAGCTTTTGCAGGTTGGAATTTATCATCATTTCT